TTTTGGATTTGTTTTACTTGGATTAAGAATTAATGCTGCTTGTTTAATAACACCCTTTAATAAAATGAACAAAAATAAAAAAGAATTAAAAATAAAAAAATATGTCAACAAACCTCCATTTGTTTTCTTTCTTGTTCTTGATCTTTAAATTTTTTTTGTGTTTCAAGAATTAATTTATGTACATGAGATAGATTATTTGATGCTGGTGCAATATCATCTTTTTTATCATTCGATGCGCGATATGTTCTAAAAATAAATTTTATAGAACAATAGATTTAATTGATTTATATAGATTTTTTTTTTTTTTTTACTTACAATTCTTTGATATAAACATTTTCTTTGTCGATAGAATCAGCTTGTTTACCAATACCACCAGGATTAAAAAAATTTATACGTAAATATATATATTCACCTTCGACAGCTAATGATACATTCTAAATTATAAATAATAAAATTAAACTCCCTTTGATCCTATCCCTTCTACATATCAGATGATCTATCATCAGACTATCCTTCCCTCCGATTCTATTCACTTCGCAACAACATTGTCTGTTTATTTTTATTTTACTATCTGCTAGACAAAGGCAAATAGTATTTCACAATGTTTAAAGTTAGCACTTGAACATGTCTAATCGAGAACACCGTTTGGTATATAGAAATTTAGTTTTTCTTAACTGATTAAATTTAAATCTTTTCTTACTTTGATTGTTGAAATATGAAATGGTGTTGGCATTCCGTTAATTGGTAAAATAACTGTTTCATATTGTTTATCTATATATATATATATTTGTTTTAATCTTTAAAATTAATTCTTTTTTAATGCACTTACCAACATAAAGTTTTAACTCATGAATATCTGGATCTTTTGGTAATTGTCCTTCGGATTTATATGAATTAAGAATTTTTCGAGTTCTAAATTAAATTTCATTGAAATAATTGAAGAATATTATTATTTTTATTTTTCAATGAATATTACCTTTCCGATGATACTTTATCATCTTGTGATGTTAATCGAGCTTCAGCTCGTTCATTTAATTTACGTAATAATGTTTTTTGAAATTCTTGACGAGATTCTTCAGGTACAGTTGAATCATTCTAAATATTATAAATAATTACAATAAAAAAAACAAAAAAAACAAGAGAAGAAATGAAAATAATATGATAATATTTACTCGAGGTTTTTCTTTAGTAGCTGCTCGTCTTGGTACTATTTTTGGTGTTTCATCATCTTCATCTTCTTCTGAACCTTCATCTTTTAAAATAATTGCTATATGACTTAGATCTTTTTTCGATGATGTATATAATGTGCAAGATTCATTCTAAAATAAAAACAATTTTTTTTAATTGCGAAATTTTAATTTTTTATTTATTACTTCATTAACAAGTACAGTATCGCCAATAAATAAAGCATAAATTTTCGATTGATCATCTTTACCATCAGAATTATCCAAACCAGAAAAGCCAATACTCACTTGAAAAGTCATACCTATAAAACAAAAGAAAAAAAAAAAGAATTTAATTTTATATTAATTTTTAATTTACCTTTTTTTGCTTGTATTGTACATTTGCTTGTTATAGCAATAGAACTTTCTCGAAATTCAATACCTAATGCTGTTCTATAAAAATTAAATTTAAAATATAATTTTCTTTTTTTTTGTTTTAGTAAAAACAAACCCTAAATTATTTGTCATTTTATTTACAAGTTCTGGTCGTTCATTTTCAACTTTTTCTCGTACTAATTTGTATACATCACATAATTGTACACCTTAGAAAATGAAATTAATTTATTGAAAAACAAAAAAAAATTGATATTATTTTACCATGTTTTAATTCATTTATAATAAGTCCTTCACATTCAATTAAAAATTTATATGTATTTTTCATTTCTTCAGATGGATTAACAAGTAATGTACGAACAAGATTTGAACAATATGATTTATATCGAATTCCAAATGCACAAACTATTGATGAACCACCATAATGAAGAAGATTGTTATCACTAAAAAGAATAAAAACAGACTCTATTCATTAACAGAAGAAAAATCGTTCGGATAATTTAGTTTTAAGAATTGAAAAACTTTTTACTTACACCGTAGCACTAAATTTTAAATTATAATTTCCACCACTTTGTACAATAGCTGGATAACACATTTCTACATGATTAAGATCAGCTTTTGCAACAAATTTTTCATCACTTAATGCTGCTTCAAGTCCTTCAGATAATTTTGAATGTTTTACTTTCTATCAACAAAAAAAAAAACAAAATGAATAAGAAAAAAAAATTCAAATAAAATCTTGTTCATACTCGTTCCGAATCAACTGTATTAACAATTTGATCTTTTAAATGCTTACTATAAAGTTTTCCAGTTATTTCACATGCTTTACGAATTAAACCAAGTTCTTCATTATCTTTCATTGAAAGTAAATAACCAACTGAAGCACTTATATCAACCTAGAATTAATATAAAAAAGAAAAAAAACAAAATATATTTCTTTGTAAAAAAAAAACAACAAACTTCTTACAGTTGTAAATGAATGTTGACTTAAACAATTTTTCCATTGTTCACCAAATGTTCCATCCATTTTATCTTTTGAAAATATTCCTAATGTTTTACCTTGATGACTTTGTTTAATTTGTTCAATAATATCAGAAAAATTTTTTTCATCATTATCTTTACGTATTAAAAAATTAAAATTCCTTGGTGCATTTTCTTTATTATTTTGTTCACTTTCAATCTAGAAAAAAAAGTGACCAATATTTTTCTAATCATTTTAAATTGAAATCAAAATTTACTTGTTTAAGATAGTTGATTTTTTTTGCACCAGCAAATATAATTACTGAATCTTGACAAAATACAACAAGAACATCATGCATTTCATAGCCAAATAACCAAGTCTAAAATAAAAATGAAGAATAATAACCAATAGAAAATTAACAAAATATACTAACCTGCATAGCAGCAGTTTTACTATAAGTAAAATCATCTTCTTTTTGTCCTCTTACAATAATAATTGCATCAGCAGAATGTAATGCATCATTATCATGAGTTAATACATCAGTTCCATCTTCATGATTTGTATTCTAGAACAACAACAATAAGAATAAATATATAAATTCTAAATGTTGATTGTATGAGATGTATAAGTTTGCTTACTTGCCATAATGTATAGAGTTTTCGAATACGTTCGAGACAACGAACGCCATCAATGAAAACGTCAGAAGGCATCTAGAAAACTAAGTTTTATTATAATACAAATATGAAATCATTACGAAAAAAGATGTTCTGTTCTCTACTACTCAAGGTTATAAAATGAGTATGGATGAACATGAAACCAACGACAATTATAGATAATCGGATAGATTATTTTTCATTGATCAAATAAAAACCTATAATAATTAATTATTTAATTCAAAAAAAAAAAAGAAAAAAAAGATGAAACTTATTTATAAATATTGTATTTTTATATTAAAAAAATATATATAATAATTAAAATTCAATATGAAATTATATTCATTCGTTATCTTGCGACATCTATTCAAAATTTTCGAATTGTAGATATTTATTCCACTTTAAAGTGATTAGAAAAAAAAGGTTCTTCAATGAAATTTATTTCGGAATAAATATCAAAAATAAAAAAAAAACATATATGTATTTCTTTTATGATGATCCTTGTACTAGTTGAACTACTGATGGTACAAGATTTTGAATACCAGTGAGAAGATGTTGTAATGTTTCTTGAAGAACAGTAGGAATTTGATGAAGATCATTATTTATAGCATTAACATTGTTCAACAAATTTAATAATGAAACAATAGTTGAAATTGATGTACCTTGTGGTAAAAGATGTGATATTGTTGAAATTAAATTAGTATTTGCACCAAGAGTATTCAAAAGATTACGGCTTGTACCTAAATATAATCAATATAGAAATAAAATTTATTATTATAAAAAAAAAATATAGAAATACTTTGAGATTGAATTCCAGCAAGGTTAAGTAATTGTTGGACAACAATTTGACTAGCTTCTCCAGCTCCACCAACAATACTAGTTAAAGTTTGATTGAGTAAAACAGAATTTGATGAATATCATTACTCAATTGATGAACATTGTTCAATAATTTAAGAATTGAAAGAACAGTTGAAATCGATGTACCTTGTGGTAATAAATGACTGATACTTGATAGTAAGTTACCATTTTGACCAAGAACATCTAAAAGGTTTCGACTTGTAGCGGCTAGAAAAACAAAATGAACAATTTGATCAATATTCTCTCAAAGATCTATGTGTAAAACATACTCTGTTGTCCGAGAAGACCAAGTACTTGTTGAATAACAATTTGACTAGCTTGTCCAGCTCCACCAACAATACTTGTTAAAGTTTGATTGAGTAAAGTGGGAATTTGATGAATATCATTACTCAATTGATGAACATTATTCAATTAGTTAAGAATTGAAAGAACGGTTGTAATCGATGTACCTTGTGATAACATATGAGTAATACTTGATAGTAAGTTACCATTATAACCAAGAGTATCCAAAAGATTTCGGCTAGTAGCAGCTCTTATTTTTTGAAATAAATAAATAAAAAAAAAAAGTTTGATAATTAAATAATCAAAATAATACAAATAATTTTACTTTGATGATTAACACTATTAACAGCACCAATCAATTGATCAACGATTATTTGACCAGCTTGACCTGTTCCATTGAGAATACTAACAAGTGTTTGATTGATCAAAAGAGGAATTTGATGAATCTACGGAAATATATTAATTTTCTTTTCTTTTTAATTTCATTTCAAATGTATAAATATACATCGTTTGATAATTGTTGAACATTATTGAGCAAGTTTAAAATTGATATAGCTGTACCTAAATTTGTACCATGTGTAGCTGTAGTCAATGATTGTAAAAGATTGCTACCGGATAGAATGGAACCAAGTGAACCCAATGGATTGCTTCGAGCGCTGATAATTTTAAAAACATATCATAGTATTCAATTTATGATATTTTTTGTTAAAAAAACAACAAGAAAAAGATAACTCACCATTTATAGCACAAGCTTTCAAGCTTGGACAACATTCATCAACAGGAATTGGCGCAGGTGTACCATCTGGACAGATCTTAAGATCCATTGTACATACAGCAAAAGTACAATCAACGGTTGCTGCAAGACAAAATCGATATAATTTAGTTTTAAAAAAACAAAACATTCAAATTCAATTAATCTCATTACGGCGAACTGGAATGATAGCAGAGTTTCTACAAGCACTTAATCATGGACAACAACCTCCGACAGGAACTGAAGCAGGCGTACCATTAGGTCAGATCTTAAGAGCCATCGTGCAAGCAACAAACAGGCAATTTTGTTTGGACGCTGTTCAAAAATATAATATACATCAATAATTTCGATTGATATTCTATGTTTTTCACTTTCGCAAAGAGGAGCCGTAAACAATACCAATAGTAACAAGTAGACAGACAAGAAATTTCATATTTGTAATCTAAATAATATAGTCACTTAAGATGATACTTGCTTTTATGTTGTGTTATTTCCTTACCTATTCCAAATTACAGATTAAAAAAAAAAGAAATCTATGACCAATTAAATATATACAAGGTCTATAGATCAAGGTATGCAGTCTTATCAACAGATGATTTGATTCACATGTTAATATCGGTAGACAATATTGATTTTGTTTTTTTTTTCAAGTTTATATTTGTATAAAAATAATGGATATTTTTCATTCATATAATATTTACATCGTATACTTTTTTACTATATAGTTAATATAGAATATTTGAATTGAACAATGAAATCTTTATATTAAAAAAAAATAAAATAACTTAACATGATATTCAACTCTTTACACAAAATATAAATCCTATGTCTTTTACAGAATAATCTAATTGATCTTAAGAATAATTCTGAAAAAGTTCTTATATTTTAAGAGATAAATAATTAAAATCAAAAAGAAAAAGTATACAAGAAATTTTGTTTTTCCATTATTCTACTTGATCTTAAAAAAAAAAGCATAATTACTTAACTACGATATTAACTAGAATATCTTCTATCTAATATATATGTATTTGTCTGATTAATTCATCGACAATCGTCAACTAGCGACATGTATTGATAGGTTCAAAATATAAAAACTATTCTATGATACAATTTGAAATACTTGAAAATTCAAACATTTCTATTTATAGTTTTTTCTTCTATTGTAGGTTCTATCTGATATACAGCGACATCAAATCCATAATTCTAGTTAATAAATATTAGTTATCAACCAATCTTGAGTTTCTACAAATAAATTTCAAATAAAACAACTAGTTTGTTTGTGTTCTTACGAAATAATAAAACATGTTTATATATATTTAATTTTTATTCTAGATTTATTATTTATCAATCTCTAAAATGACTGATCAATGGCAAGATAGTAGTATAACAAATACTCTAATACGAGATGATAATGATAATGATGCTGTTCCTGATGCTTGGGAAGATGAATTAGAAGAAAAAGTTTGTTAATCTTCTTTTCATTGTTTGATTGATAAATTTTTTTTTTCTACATTTTCCAGCCTAAAAAATCTGATGTAGAAGAAAAATCAAAAGTACCTGTAAAAGCACCACCAACAACAAAAAATAAAGTAACTAAAAAAAAATATACTGGTGATGGACGTACAAGTGATGAAGAATTTCTTGAATCTTTAAAAGAACCCGATCGACAATATACACCTGAAGAACTTGATGAATTAAGAAAACGTGCTGAATTACAACAAGAAGAACTTAAATTAAAAATGGCAACAGATTTTATTGGTACAAGTGGTGAACGTCATTCATTAGATAATGTTAATTTAATAACAAAAGATGAATTTCTTGATTATAGTTTTCGTTTATATAATCGTCTTGAACTTTTATCAAAATCTGAATATTATATAGAATTTCTTGATGATTTACTTAATGGATTAACAAAATCAATGGGACTTGATAATATTAAACATATACAATCAACATTACAAGGTATATTATTACATAAACAAAATGATGAACGTGAAAGAAAATTAAAAACTAAAGTAAAAAAACCAGTTAAACCACAATTAAAAGCAGATCGACGAAACGAAATGGATTCATTTGTTGGTGAAGGTATCAAAAATGTTGATGGAGATGAAGAATATGATGAAGATAATGATTTTATGTAAAATGTTGAAAGAAATAAACGAAAAAAAAAAAATATCTATTTGGATTCTTAGAAAAATAAAAAATAATAGAAAATCAATCAATTATTTATTCATCTTCGGAATAATTAATATAGTATTAACAACGAACGAGTATTTTACATGAGATTCTACAAAATATATTTTAAACATTATTAATAAACAACGCTATTTCTTGTTGAATCTTGATGTATACCATTGTTTTTTTTGTTATTAATATGCCATTAAAAAAAAATTATAATAAAAGAAAAGAAAGAAAATACAATATTGTCGATAGTCTCAATAATACATAAAAATCATATCATAAATATGGAAATATATTGATACATTTCCTATGAACCAGTTCTTTTATCTAGCATGCGGATCACGTCCTTTCGAAGATTGAAATGGTTCTCGCAGAATTTTTGGGTTATTGTACTGCGTATTTATGTGTCTGTGCTTCCAAAAATAAATGTTCATTCTCTTGAAGTTTGAAATCGCCATTTCGGAAAAGAAAATTCAAATAAAATACTGCAATACAGAGATTTTTAATAATAAAATTATGTGCAATATCAACTAAATAGAATCACATAAGTAATCTTGATTCTATTAGGACATCGTCTAAATCATAAGAATAAATTTTGTCTAATAAGAAAGAAAACGAAAATATTTTCAATATTTCAAAAATCTATCGACATCATAATTCAACTCAAAACACGTACACATGAAATAATGAAATTCTTCTGTATTTGTATCTACATGTTCAATCTGTGTAGAGATATATGCATTCTAATCTACCAAATCATTTGAATTAAATATCAAGGATATTATAATTAATGAAATAAAGAATGTTTATTCAATATTCATATCTACCAAAAAATCAAAAAAAAAAAAAAAATTTTCCGAACCATTCAAAAAATTCCTTTGTTACATATGAAAATAAACATTAATAAAAGAAAAAAGATCTATTTTTTTTGTTCAATTAATAATAGTTGACCTTCTTTTTTTTGTTGGTTTGAGTTTACTGATTGAAATAATTTCAAAAGCAAATATGGAAAATTTTTCTATAAGCATTATTTACTAAATTCAAATTATAATATGTTTTCTTCATATTCTATAAGTCTAAATTTTTCACAAGAACGAATATTTATTTTACAAATATAAAAAGCAGTATTTGCCTAACATATGAAGAACATTGTATTGTACCTGCCTACTCTGTTAGACAGGATGCATCATTATTGAGGCAGTATATCCAAAAAAAACCAAGATGGCGTCTACGACAACTGTGATTATTGATGAAATAGATAGACAGAAGTTTACTTATTTAATTTAATATATATATATCTTTATATATTCATTTTAACTATTGTAACTTAAAAATTTTATTGTGTGTTAGTATTGCATTAGAAAAATAATCTTATATATATCATATTTAATATTCTAATCAGTTGAATATATACATATACAAATCATCATCATCATCAACATCATCATCATCATTCATTGGATGAATGAATGTATTTGTATATATGTATTTGAATGATTTCTAGAATATTGAATATGTTGTGTGTCATTTATAGATTCATTTTTTAGTTATCTTAACTTATCTTTTTATTTCTTTCCATCTTAATTTTTGTATGTGATTCATTAGACTTATATTATTGTTAAGTTCAATTTAAAAGTTTCTTGGTTTTTTTTTTTTTTTTTATTTAAGTGAATAATCAAATGTTTAGAATTGATTAATATTTCCTTTCCTATATCCATATTTAAGATAGGCTTTCTCGTCTTTTTTTTATTTTTATCTTTTTTCGTCGTTTTCTTTCGAATATATAAACTATAGAATAACAACCGAGGTCGACTACAGATGTCGTAATTAAATCTACAGAATAAAATAAAAAGCGTACGCAAAAAAAAAAAAGAAAAGATTGCAGTGAACAAGATGATTGTTGTTTTCGAAAAGTTTTGTGTTTTTTTTTTCTTAACAACTGATTTTCATAGTTTTAATTCAAATAATATTTCATTTCTCTTATATTACAGATTGTATTTATAATAATAATAATAATAATAATAATAACAAACAAAACTATGTTCATTGGTTAAAATCGATATAGTGAGATTCAAGATTGTCCTTGAACTTTCACGTTCTATATAAATATTAAAGAAAATCTTCTTTCGTCTTGTTTCTTTCTTTTTTTTGTATCTATTGGTTTTTGTTCTTTTTCTCAAATGCTCGATCGTCATAAATATTTTTATCATCATGAGTTTCACTTTATGTTCAACATCAACTTCATTTATTAATAAAAATGAACGTTTAAAACGAAAACGTCTAACAACAACAACATTAAATCGATTCTCATCATTTAACGAAAATAAATCATCATCAGTTGATAATCGTCGTCGATTATTTCAAGTAAATAAATTATTTTCGCGCCAAAACTTCTTTTATTTTCCTTTTTTTGCGTACTTTCTTTTATTTTTCTTCTCTTTTTTAATATATTTTTTTTTTGTTATAGTCAACACCAAATTTAATTGAATTACTTGAAGAAGACGAAGACGATATTGACGATAATCAAGGATTATGTCACGAATGTAATATATGTTCAAAATTATTTGCTAGTGAATACGGTTTTAATCATCATATTAATATGTATCATCCAAATCAATCAGTATTATGTTCACATTGTCAAATAACATTTCGTTCACATCGTTCACTTAAAACTCATCAACAACGACGTCATTCATCTATACAAAAAAAAACTTAATTCAAAACATTTACCATTACCAAATTATAATTATTTATCATCATATCTTGTATCAGCTTTTTCATCAGAACAATTTCCATTAATTGCAAAAAATGCATGTGAACAACAACGTTTACCATTAGGTTATTTATCATCAAAAATATATCAATGTCATTTATGTTTAATATCATTTCCATGTTCACGTACATTAAAATATCATTTATTAAATAAACATGAACAATATGAATATAAAAATTGTCAAAAAATTCTCTCAGATTTAATTTTACAAGTTGAATTTAATTTACGAACAGTAAATAATAATAATAGTGATGATGATATTGAAACAATAAAATTTATTTTATCTAAACAAGCATCACAATTTGGTCTTATTGATAAACAATTATCTAAAAAATTACGTTCAATTAAAATTGAACAAAATCGTTTTATTTATTCTAAATGTCAACATATAAATCGTACATGTGCTAATTTATGTTTAGAAAATGTTTCATCATATAGTAAACTTATAGAAAATTATTCATTTACAATTCCAATATTACCTAAAGGAAATGCATTTAGTCAAGGTTCAATTGTATCAATAATATCATCAACAAATAATATTTATTCAAATGATTTATTATCTACAAATGATTTAAATTCATCAAATGATTTATTAAATACACGTCAAAAACGTAAAAATATTAAACATACAAATAATTCAATATCATCATCACCAGTAAAGAAAAAAATACTTTCAAATGTAACAATAATAAATTCAAAAACAAATCGAATTAATTCAAATAATAAATTAAATATTAAACAACAAATTGAACAAATAACAAAAGTATAAAATATTTTTATTTTAAATTTATTAAAATAAATTATTCTTAATTTTAGACAAATGAAATAAAATCTTTTCCACTTGAACAATCTTCATTTACTTTAGCTATTACACCGGTATCAAGTTCACCGAGAAAAATATTACCAAAAGATAATTATAGTAAGCAAAAAAACAATAATTATCATGAAATAATATTATTTATCTTGATATCGGTCAAAGAAATAGAAGAAAGTAATAGTGTACTTCGAGTAGAGTTCTTGACATTCTAAATTTTCGAATTCGAGAGTAACTTTGTTTTTCTGTATTGTAATTAGTTTTTGTTATATGCGGAATCTTAAAACTGATAATATTGAATATATGAAGAACTTTGAAAGATTTTTAACGTATAACTACATCTGTTTATTGTATTTACTGTAAAAAAATTTTATCTATTAGATTAATCATCGAAATTTTCTCAAAAAGAGATTCTTGTAGTCTTAGGTCTTGTTGTAAAATTGTCATTTCTTCTTTGTCGAATTCTTTTTACTCTCATTCTCTTCTTATCTTATCATATTAAAAACAAAGTTCGTCGTTTATCAAGAAGAATAGAGAAGTTGTTAGTTTTTACTGATTGATATAAAAACAAAATGACCTTATTCAATTCTTCTGTAATTTTAAAATTAATTATTTCTTTGACTTTAGTGCGTTCATTATCATCCATGTCAAGTAATTCATCAACATCAACTCGTTCATTAACAACAAAATCATCTTCATCATCAATAAATTTAACTCAACAACCAACAATATCTTCACAACGTACATCAAAACGTAATCTATCGCCATCAGTAACTATTTCCTTAGAAAAACGTCATCAAACACGTAAACAAAAACAAATTATTGCATCATCATCAACATCATCTACTGCAATTATAAGAATTGATGATGGT